AGTCATATTTTAATTTAGTAGTGTTTTTTTTTCTTTTACATGTGACATTTTTGTAAGTTAACTGAAGTGAATTTAAATATATCCATAAGATTCCAGCGGAGCATTGTAACATTTTGTGGTCCAAATCCTGTTTCACATGCATTTCCGTGTTGACAAGAATGAAATTAAAAAGCAAGGCGCTGAACATTGAAATTTCTCGCCGTGAACATATGGATGGCCACTGAATGTTTGCATACAACGTGCTTCAGCATCTGTTCTGAGGAACTGATTGAAAATCTCTGTGTTTGAGGGTGGTTCAGGTGCAAGTTTGTATAAATATGACGACATAATAATAATTTATTTTGAGCAAGGTCAAAGTTGAGGATTAGGGATTGTGTATTGCCCTTGCCCCCCAGCATGTATTTTAATGTATTTTTCTACACTGTGCATCTTGCATACGTGCGTGCTGATGTTGTACATAACATAGCTGGAGTCTTTCTACTGTACACTCGATTTATTGGTTCTTTTCATTCTGTACACATACATTTCACATTTACATTACCTACATACTGTAGCTGCATTAATTTCTGTCGCACACCATGTTGATTATTATTCATATTGTGACTCATACTGTATATAACATTTGTCACATCCCTTCCTACTATCTCTCATTAGAATGCATTTTGCACACTATAGGGCTGCAGTTAACAGGTGTTTTCATGTTTAATTAATCTGCCATTTTTTTGCTGAATCAATATATCACTTGATCTGAAAAATATCAGAAAGTAATGAAAAGCCTAAAGTCCAAAGTGATGCCTTCAAACCCACCGATATTATGTTTATTGTCACATTAAGAACATGAAAATCCTCATAAGTGATAAACTGGAGCAACTGTATATTCACTCATCTTAAACAGAGGTGTAGATCTTTTTTGGGGGGATGCATATGTCCTGCTTAGTGTTTTGAGCATGTGGATTTTTCCCCTACAAAAAATACATGAAAGTAGCAGATGATTTTTATTGAGTTATTTATTTTTTATATATATGTTTATTGCTTTTTTAGAGCATTGAAAAGACATAGGAAGAACAAAGCCAACAGGCACAGCACATCAAATGTAACAGTGGCCACAGTCAGAGTGATTAGTACAGAGTAGTAGCAGTAAAAATTACGCATACAGAAAAAGAAAAATATACACAGCAAGGTGCTTCATCTAAAAAATATTATTACATTAGTTTTTGCTCTGAAAGAATTTCAGTACAGAGTCTGAAATCTTATCAAACACAACACCTGTGTTTGCCATTTTATTTAACCATACATCATATGCAGGAACAGAGTCCATCTTCCACACTTGCAAAATTAACTTCTTTGCAGTCATCATTCCGAATAAAACAAACATTTTTTGGTATTTGCTAGCAGAGGATAAGGAGCCAGCTATGAGGGGATCAGGTGCCCAAGATCTCCCAAAAGCCCCAGAGAAATAGTGGAATTGTTCTTCCAATATTTATACAGTTTACTGCATGGTCAGAAAGCCTGGAGGACTTTGTTTAAATGAGACATTTTCTTCTGAAATTGATGCAGGAAAGGTGCAAACAGGTGCTTAAAAATTCACCAGATTGCAAGGAAGTTTTTGCTGCGTTCATGTGCTCCTGCGATGGTCCCATGTCTTGAGTTGGAGAGTCGTTCTTCTTACTTTGGTGTGTTCATGAGCATCAAGTCGTAATGTGGAAACAACATGGTCGCTACAAAGAAGATTTTATTGCTCAGAGCATGTAAAGGAAATGACCACTTTAGAATTAAAATACAGACAGTACTTACTTACCCTCATGCCCACAAGAAGTCCAGTGTAGTTTTTTAATCCACAAAACTCGTTCGGGGTATCGGAGGATAACAGCTAGCCGGATTTTTCCATACACTTTAAGTGCATGGAACATAATGCATTTCAAAAACGTCAGAATGGCTCATCCGTCGTAATCCAAGTGCCCTGAAGCCAACATAGATAAAGATATCATTTTACTTTTATAGCATAATTTCTCACCGTGGTCAGTTAGCCTGCAAGCGTTCTGTGTTTACATGGCAACTCACACGAGACTCGAGAACGTTCAGAGACGTTCTTGTTCTCAAGTCTTGCAAGTTGCAGGCTAACTGACCACGGTGAGAAATTATGCTATAAAAGTGGAGTAAATTATGTCTTTTCAGGTCAATGTTGCATGCCGCGGCTTCAGGGCGCTTGGATTACGACGGACGAGTCATTCTGACATTTTTGAAATGCATAAGCAGAGGTACATTTTCAAAATGATTTTGGACGTGGGTTCCATGCACTTCAAGTGGTCATTTCCTTTAAACACACTGATATCAGTTGAAGCTGTATCTTACAAAGTGATTTTGTCTCGAACTTGTTGCAGCACCAGTACATCCCCTAAATACTAAAAAATAACTTTTCTAACTAATCTCGGTCACTCTACGTGGACAGCAACTAACGGTTACAACCTAATACCATATTGCAAATTACATGTGAGCAAAAAATTGACACACAATATGTGAATTGATTAAAAGTTTTCTTTCGTCCGCCACGTTTCTGCATACAGTACAGGCCAAAAGTTTGGACACACCTTCTCATTCAATGCGTTTTCTTTATTTGCATGACTATTTACATTGTAGATTCTCACTGAAGGCATCAAAACTATGAATGAACACATGTGGAGTTATGTACTTAACAAAAAAAGGTGAAATAACTGAAAACATGTTTTATATTCTAGTTTCTTCAAAATAGCCACCCTTTGCTCTGATTACTGCTTTGCACACTCTTGGCATTCTCTCCATGAGCTTCAAGAGGTAGTCACCTGAAATGGTTTCCACTTCACAGGTGTGCCTTATCAGGGTTAATTAGTGGAATTTCTTGCTTTATCAATGGGGTTGGGACCATCAGTTGTGTTGTGCAGAAGTCAGGTTAATACACAGCCGACAGCCCTATTGGACAACTGTTAAAATTCATATTATGGCAAGAACCAATCAGCTAACTAAAGAAAAACGAGTGGCCATCATTACTTTAAGAAATGAAGGTCAGTCAGTCCGGAAAATTGCAAAAACTTTAAATGTGTCCCCAAGTGGAGTCGCAAAAACCATCAAGCGCTACAACGAAACTGGCACACATGAGGACCGACCCAGGAAAGGAAGACCAAGAGTCACCTCTGCTTCTGAGGATAAGTTCATCCGAGTCACCAGCCTCAGAAATCGCAAGTTAACAGCAGCTCAGATCAGAGACCAGATGAATGCCACACAGAGTTCTAGCAGCAGACCCATCTCTAGAACAACTGTTAAGAGGAGACTGCGCCAATCAGGCCTTCATGGTCAAATAGCTGCTAGGAAACCACTGCTAAGGAGAGGCAACAAGCAGAAGAGATTTGTTTGGGCCAAGAAACACAAGGAATGGACATTAGACCAGTGGAAATCTGTGCTTTGGTCTGATGAGTCCAAATTTGAGATCTTTGGTTCCAACCGCCGTGTCTTTGTGAGACGCAGAAAAGGTGAACGGATGGATTCCACATGCCTGGTTCCCACTGTGAAGCATGGAGGAGGAGGTGTGATGGTGTGGGGGTGTTTTGCTGGTGACACTGTTGGGGATTTATTCAAAATTGAAGGCACACTGAACCAGCATGGCTACCACAGCATCCTGCAGCGACATGCCATCCCATCCGGTTTGCGTTTAGTTGGACGATCATTTATTTTTCAACAGGACAATGACCCCAAACACACCTCCAGGCTGTGTAAGGGCTATTTGACCAAGAAGGAGAGTGATGGAGTGCTGCGGCAGATGACCTGGCCTCCACAGTCACCGGACCTGAACCCAATCGAGATGGTTTGGGGTGAGCTGGACCGCAGAGTGAAGGCAAAGGGGCCAACAAGTGCTAAACACCTCTGGGAACTCCTTCAAGACTGTTGGAAAACCATTTCAGGTGACTACCTCTTGAAGCTCATGGAGAGAATGCCAAGAGTGTGCAAAGCAGTAATCAGAGCAAAGGGTGGCTATTTTGAAGAAACTAGAATATAAAACATGTTTTCAGTTATTTCACCTTTTTTTGTTAAGTACATAACTCCACATGTGTTCATTCATAGTTTTGATGCCTTCAGTGAGAATCTATAATGTAAATAGTCATGCAAATAAAGAAAACGCATTGAATGAGAAGGTGTGTCCAAACTTTTGGCCTGTACTGTACATAAAGTCAACTTGGCATCTCCTGCACCAAAGTTTTCACTGACTTTCTGAGTTGCTTCAACTTGAGGGGGAGTTTACTTGAGTTTTCCCAGTCAGGAACTCATTTTTCAGATTATTTTGACACCACTTGAATGCAGGGTGAATGTTTGACAATCAATATTACCTCCCTGATTCATATGCCTCCCCCAGATGTTTAATATGATGTACACCCCTGTATGTGTATCCTATACCTTGCAGCTGTTTGCATCATCTGATTAGATGCTGAATTCAATACAACAGCCAGCAGAAGAGTTTCAAGAGCAGAAAGGAGGATTAATCTCTCCGGTATCATGACCCTGTTTAATAGAGTACTTCTCCTTAAACAAATGCTCCTGATAAAAAGTGATTTTCTTATCACCTTGATGCATTCTGCTTTATCTTCATGCGCAGACTCACCCAATTAAAAACAAGTCTTATTTCAACCTCATTATTTTTTGTTTTTATCCTAAAATACTAATTATCAGTAACGTGTTTTTTTGGTAATGAATGGCCTTGCACCTTTTCTTGCACTCCTGATTAAACAGTAGGGAATCCTGATTAAAACACGGTGCACCGTTGGGTTTGTTTGAGCTCGGAGAGGAAAACGGCACAACGTGTTTGTGCTTGGACGCATGCACGAAATGTGCGCACACATGAGAAGGGTTTAATATTATGCGGGCTGTCATAATTAGCATTAGGATCCGCTCCGCGCCTGGCACAGACTCCGCTCCGGGTTTTGCGCACCGCCCTCCACAGCCAGCTGCTGCAGAGCAGGGGACCGGTGCGCCGTTTCTCCTCGCCTTGTTTGCCTCCAGTCCGGCTGTAGCTCCGACTGTCTGCACGGCGTGTGGATGAGGCGCAGAGGGAACGACCGGGAGCGCACCGAAAGCTAGACTGAAGAAGTCATATTACCCCTCTTCGGGCTGTATCTGTGATCCAGGCCGCTGGAGACCTCCAGACAGACTTGACGTGCTCGGAGTTTCATTTTGTAGCGAGACTGGGGCGCATCTCGTCTCCTTGAAGTGATCCTTTTTATGCAGTCTATCCGTAGCGCTCCCGTCGGAAGGAGCCTGGGTGCACGCACAAGAGGAAGGAGGGGGGAAGTAACGATCATTACTTTTGAACAGACCCCTCGCCATGGAGCTATCCGTCCGGTCCCGGACGTTTTGGCTTGAAGAGGAGCAGATACCTGCCACAGGAAACCCCGCCGTCTGCCCACTGTGAAGAAAGTGTAGCATGCAGCCGAGCCCCAGCCGTCTTTGTGCGACCCGCTGCTTAGTTTCTGGGGGCCTCTTCTGAAAAAAAGGGAGAGCAGGGGTGCTCCTGGTGTTGATCTGAAATTCACACTCCATGCCGGGATCCATATTTTGGCACGGCGTACCACAGTAAGTAGCCTTTAAAAGCGGATGTTTTGAGTCTTTCAGGGGAGATGCTGGGTTATGCCTCTGTTAAATCAATACCATTTATTTACACTCCCAGGATATCAGAAGGCAAATGTCAGAAAACGGGCCCACGGGCTCCTCCAGCATTTCAAAACTGTTGTGATGAGATCAATATATAGCCCATAGTATATGATGTTATTCTGTGGTGTCTGGAGCCTCCAGACTTTTGATTAATGTGAAGTTGCTCGGCTATTAGGGTCATCCCAATGTGGATTTCATGGCATACATCTGTCTATGACTCAAATTAAAAGCTCACTGAAGGATGCATTTGCACCTCATGATACAAAAAATGTGTGAAAATGCTTTTATTCAAGGTGTGCTCAGATGTTGGCTCTTCTCTTGTGTGTGAGGTGCACAGTGTGACAAAGAAGGTCCAGGATGTGAACCAAAAGCCTGTAAAAAGCCAAATGGGAGTTGATTTATAAGATATTCAGCAGTGATAATCAGCGTGATAACACGGTGGTGAAAAAGAAAAGAGCTCACACAAACATCTCCACCCTGTTCCAGGACACCAGGAGCTAAGTAGTTGGATGTCAGTTACTGTCTCCATTTACTTCTCCATTTTGCGGCTATAAAATAAGATCATTTCACAGAGCATGTATAATTCACAGACCTGAGCCAGCCATGTGTGATGATGGGACACACACACACACACATTTATACACACACATTTATACACACACACACACACACACACACACACAGACGGATAGAGTTTTTACAGGCGAAGGGAGCCATATCTCATTCTCACGTGAAGCTTTTAGAGATAGGGCCGCATAGACTTCAGCTCCAAACCCCAGGAGAGCACGACTGTGGCGGACTGAAATATCAAGGTTAAATAACATTTACACATAATCCATACTGTCAGTGCCAAATCAGGATGGTGCTGCAACCTTATATAAGCCATACTGACAAGTTAGGAAACTGAGAGCTTCCCCTCTGCATATACTTATATAACAGCTTTCACATAGGGAAGTATGGATGACGACTCTTTTCAAATCCAGTTGTTTTTTTGACATGAAAGCACTCAGCTGCTCAGTTTTGATCTTAGAGAACTGCAACATTATATAAGACGTATGCACAGTGTGTGCGAAATTGACTCGCCACCAGACAAATCCGGGTATATTTTGACCGTGGCGGAGAAGTTTTTGACATGCCAGCCATTTTGGAGGACTAGATTTTAAAAAAAAAAAAAAAGAAAAAGAAAAGTCTCCTTGGCTGGGGTGAATGTGGCTGCCTGATGCTGACATACCCATCAGTGATTCCTGAAGACGTAAAGGTCATTTTATCCCCATGCCAACGGGCCGTAGTGGGATGTTTTACTGCTGAATGTTGATGTTGCACTCTGAAAAATCCTTTGCATTTCAGCTCAGGCTATTTCTTGATTCAAATGCTGGGACAGTGGATTGTAGGAATTCAAAAGAGGAGAGGGTAGACAAATGCTCTCCCTCCTCTTCCTCCTCCTCTCCACCCTCTCTACCTTCACTCCATCTCTCACCCTCCCCAGACGTGCTGGTTTGGTCCATTTGTCTGTGTTGTCTTGGGAGGAAGTGCCATCTCATCTCACATTGCGCAAATGGTTTCAATGCATGCTAGTGTGAATTCTAGCGGCTTTTTGTAACTGCCAATTTCCATATCAAAGTGTCTGCATTTCAATAGGGAGAACTTGAGCTACCAGCCCCCTTTCCTCTAAGCAGTTTTGTTCTGATAGAGTGTTGCTGCTGCTGCTGTTGGTGGTAGTGGTGGTGGTGGAGGCTTCTGACAGGATTGCTGGACACTGCAGTTGGTTGTGTGTGTGTGTGAGAAGCAAGTGTTTGTGTTGGAGGCAGATTTCGTGTGGATTGGGAGAATTTGTTGGCCATAATCTAACACCAGAAGCCATGTATTTAGCGGAAATGTTGGACGCCGTTCAGAGACGTGGTTATGTTAAAAAGATTTTTGTCCTGTTAAAAACTTTTCCCCTCAGTGTTCCTCAGCAAGAGCATAAAACATCAACAAAGAAAGGTCTGTATTTTATTTTCAAGAAGGAGGAGAGCCCACCGCGTCCATGGCGAGGAAAGAAAAAAAAAGGCATTAATGACTTGACGAAAATCTGTTTGCATATTTTGACTGGTATTTTGGCTGCAACAGTGTACACCGAAAACGCTCCAAAATTAATTTGTTTTCAGGTGCAAAATAAATGACTTAATTCCACATTCAGTGAGTGAGGATGTAAAGACGCAGAGCATTCAAGCTTTGTGAGCCACTCTCAGTACCTAGTGGTGTCTGATTGTTTTTTCTGTCGCAGAGATAATATTTATTTCCCATTCTGTGCAGCTGTTGTTTGTCAGTGAAAGAATGCGGCAAGACACTGTTTATTTTTGAAGGATTTCTTTGTCTTGTGATACACGGTCTAATGTTCTCTGCAATTTAGACAGGTTTAATAGAGGAAAATAAACACTTATTTTTACCAAGCACAAAGAGAAGTGCTTTCTTGCCTTTGTGCATGCACTTACTTTGGGAGCAGGATCAGAACAGGTTATAGTGAAAGAAAGTGCAGCTTGTGTATTAGAGAGGGAATGTAAATGCCATTGGGAGCACAGTAGGGGTCGGTGGCCCCTTCATGGTCATCCCGCTCCTGGGTAATAACATGAGCCAACTGCTCCCCAACCTGCTGTAGAACAGAGCTTGCTCCTTCCTTTGTTCAGACAACATAACATCACGAAACTTAAAAAAAAGAGGCAAGGGTGGGAGTTTTGAACTCGGACAGCATGAAGGGGGGGAAGAAGGAGAGGACTTCACCTGCCATCTTCACTCACAGCGGGCGGGTTTGACAGCTGTCTTGTTCAGTTCCTCTGACACGCTTGCTGCGAAAAAGTTGGACAAACAAACGGACAGAGAGCGGGTGTGATGAATAATGGTCGACGAGACATTTATGATCGCAGCGGTCTTAGAGGAGAAAGTGCATTTTCTGATGATGGTGTAATTCTTTTATCCTGTTGTTCTGACTTTGCATCAGTCTTCTGCTGCTCTCCTACAATGACTCCCGACAAAGCCCAGAGAACAGGCCTCTCTGTGAATTGTCGATGTGTAGGAGGATGGAGCAGGAGCCATAGCAAGTGTAGTAAGTTTGTCGAGTGGAGAAAAAGTGAGAGTGGAGAGTGGGAACCATGCTGTGGTGTTCTGGGCCGAGGCTGGTTGTTCAAATTATTAAAAAGCTGCTGAGGAGGAGAGGTACATGCATTCTGCTCCGTCGAGGCTGCTATCGCTGGAGAAATTGGCATCAGTGCTTCTCCTAAGATGGAGTTCTTCCTGGGTGACTGTTGCTGCAAAATGGTCTGAGAGTCTAGAAAGTAGTGTCTGATTCTGAGGGGCTGACACCAAACCTGACATTTACCGGTGATGTCATGTGAAGTGGCGCACCCCCCCCCCCCCCCAAAAAAAAAAAAAAATACATCAGATGGAACATTGAAGCTTTGAGAAGAAAAATACGCAACAGAGGAGAGAAATAAAAAAAAGTAAAGGGCATTTTGTTTATTTAACAAAGTGCTTCGGGGTGAGTTTCTCATTTAACTGCAAAAACCCATCATAGCTATTTTGCGGCTTGCCTCAAAAATAAAGAGACAGATGACTGGAACGAATGATTATGCGTTAGGGTAGTTAACCCGATGGATGGATATATGGTCGCGCTCCTTTTCACCGAGAGAATACGTCTGAGGGAGAAAAAGATCGCTCCCATACCACCACCTCCTGTGTTTAAAATGACAGTTAACTTTCCCCCACTGGTTTAAAATGGATGTTTAATGATCAACAGAGGCTTGGAGCCGAGGTCTAGCAGTCACACTGGCTCTCTACGCAGAGCCTCTGCTAAGAAAGCCACCCCCTCTGTGTTGTTAAAGGACGCTCTCGCTCAAAGGAGGCTGATTCTTGAGTGATGGATCATCAGAGGTCTCTTTGGGATGTGTGTTAACCCTTTGGTGCGTGCAGATCTCTCCCGGTTGGGAGCCGTTGGCAGCGTGTGATGGATGTGTCCCGGGTCTTTAGGCTCCATATATCAGAAGATTAGCACTGACCTGCGAGTTGTCTGGGCCGCCCTCGGAGCTTCTTCTCCAACACTGGCTGACATTAGCATATGAGGACACTGCTCTGTCTCAGGGGGATACAAAGATAGTGTGCTTTATTTGGTTCTGTCATAGTATAGGTCACAGGAAGTGTGCAGATTAAAGGCTGAAGGCTTTGTGTTGGTATTAGGTGTATCTGACAGGTCATCCGTCTTCAACTGGGGAAACGCTTCTCTTCTTCTTCAAATTCCTAAATAGTATCATATAATTATCCTAGAAATTGAGGTTCAGGCCATGCTTCACTGCAGAAAAATCTCTCCCTGTCCTCCTTCATGCTATTCATGAATCACATAAAAATGCAAATCACTCTGCTGATGTGGTGTAACATTGTTATTTCTCATTTTGCATTGAAAAGAAAGAAATTGTAACAGGTACACACCCAAACTCATGTTTTATTTTCCAAATGAGTAATCTGCAGGGCCTCAGCACGTGATAGACAACTTGAATTCTTCTATTAAATGCTTTCACATGAAGAGCAGAGGTACATTTGCTTCCTGACGAACCCGTTATTCGGGACATTGAAAGGCTAAATTGAATTTTTGAAGTTTTACAGCAGATTTTCTCAAATAATCATAAAACTCTTTCACTTTTATTGCTCTCGTGCAGCATCTAACATTTATCCAAGTGTATTGCTGCATTTGTTTTGTCGTGTCTTTAAAGGTCCAGTGTGTAGGATTCAGGGGGATTTGCAAATTGGATTGCAGAGACTGATAATAATAATAGAGTAAGTCTTTTCTTCTGAAGAATCATCGTGTTTTAGTTACTTTAGAATGAGTCGCTTATACCTCCATAGGGAGCAGGTCCTCGTCCGTGGAGATCGCCATGTTGCACCGCCATGTTTCT